CATGTATGTCTGTACACTGTCAAGAAACTTGGAGAGTTTTTGTAGAAAGTACGAAAGTAAGTTCTACAATGCTAACTGCAAAGAACTGAGAGGGAGGAAGGCCACAGCATTACAGCGTTTTAGGGTTCCGTAACCAATGGGTAAAACGGCACCCTATTTAAGACTCCACTGTCTGTCTGTCCGTCTGTCACCAGGCTGTATCTCATGAACCGTGATTGTAAGACAGTTAAAGTTTTCACCGATGATTTATTTCTGTTGCTGCTATAAGAGCAAATATTAAAAAACAGAATAAAAAAATATTTAAGTATAAATAGACATGATTTATTCATATAATATAATGGCACGGAACCCTTCGTCCGCGATTCTAACTCTGGGTCGGTTTTTGTATTATACAGAAGAGGCGTTTACAGACGTATTGTTTCCCCACAGATTTATGTGCGAATATTTTTCAGTTTTTGCCGTTCGCTTCGAAGTTCCGAGAAAATTTTCCCTACATTTCACCAGTTGGCCGTTCAGATAATTGCGACTTACATCGTTTTGTCAATATTATCTCAAATAATATTGATCTATTATGTGTTAAATTGTGTTAAAAAAGCTTAGAGAAATGTGGGTAAAATTTAGCACTTTCTAACCCGTCAAAATAAAAAACAAGATAGCTTGTCTTTAACGAGAAACATATTCATGCAGATCCTAAAATGGTCATATAATTTGAATATATGTAAGGAAAAATACTGTGATAATTTTATTACGTACGCAAAGACTCAAAGGAATGAAACACAGCCCCCAAATATTACGTAATTATCTGTATTTGGTACAAAAACAACTCTGTTTGTTTCCGAGTTTAATTATACAGTTCAAAAATGTGGTATCGGTGATTTTTAGAGTTCTGGTGTTCAAGAAAATTGCAACTGAAAACTAGTTTAGCTTGGAGAAATGTAATGGGTTTTAAATAATAGGATAGATTTAGATAGGAACCTTCAAGAAGAGAGCATACTCTTGCCTTAAAGGCCGGAAAGGCATTTGTAAGCCCTCTGGTGTTGCGGGTGTTCATGGGCGGCCGTGATCATTTACCATCAGGTGAGCCTCCAGCTCGTTTGCCACTTTTTTCCCATAAAGAAAAAAAATAGATAATTAATTTGTTTCAGACATTATGTTTAATATTATTATGTTTTATATATTTTCTTTTAACCATTATATTTTCACTAACGACATTGACAGAGAGATCTTTAGGCTACGAACATGATTTTTATGATAACAGATTCTAAAGATGAAGAAGCGTGGATTGCTAAACAATTGAAATAAAATTATAGGTGAATCTCTAAATAATTGAAATAAGCTCTTTAAGTTTAAGCTTTATAGGTATATCGCCTGGATAAATACTTATCAGGAAGTCTGTTTCAGGAGTTTCTGAATAAACCTTTGTCTAAAGGCGAGAATTTTCCTGCGTGAAGCCCACATTTTGAATAAGACAAATGTAATGGAAACAACTATATTGATAATAAAGACGCCATTTTGAATATATAAAGCTTTGTACACCATTATTAACAACGTTACGTTGTTACTGTCTATTTTATTCTAAGTGGTATTTACTTCTTATTTGTATGTATTATATATATAACCAGTAGGAGGCCACCCAATTTTACATGATTTCATTAACATAATAATGTAATTATTGAATGTTAAATTAACTCATTTGAAGCAACCTGTTATGAAGTTATTCACCAGCTGATATGTCAAAAAATAATGATGATGATGATGAAATGCTTTCGGGGTGAGACGTTGTAAATATATAAGAAAAATTAACGGTGGTAAGGCCACGCAGCAGCCTCGGCTGTTGCACTAATGGGCAGGCTCGTCAGGGTAAGTACCACGACCTCACAGAAGACCGGCGTAAAGTGGAAGTATAATATTCTCGTTTCGTCTGGTGAGTGAGGTGGCCGGAGCCCAATTTTCAAAAGGTTGTCAACGCATCTGCAACCCTCGGGTGTAGCAGATGTCCATGGGCGGCGGTATTCACTTAACATCAGGTGAACCATCTGCTCGCTTGGCAACTTTTCACATATAAAAATATATATATACTACTACAATTGAAAATAAATAACAAAAATCAAGAAAATTCAGTCTATTCCGTCCGGTAGAATTTAATTTGATTTGATTCACTGAGAGTAGTACTTTCGCTGCGTAATATCAATTCATTTCATTTTTGGGTCGTCCTTGTTGTTCGTCCGATTCCCACCGAGAGAATCTCCCGTTGAAATTATGTCAAATCACGCGCCAATCTCCTACTGCATTACACAATTTATCTCCCAGATTACAAATGGCGTATCGTCAATCAAACGTCACAATGTCCATCAAACTCCGGCCCTCCACTTACCAATGTGATGAAGGGTTCGGCAGGCATTGGACTATCTGCAATCAAAACGGTCATATATATCTAGTAAAGTATTAATGGAGTTGATAGCTAAGATTACACTAGGGCAACATCAGAGTCAGTGAATATTGCACCTAGTCAATCTAGTTGACATACGGCAAGAACGCTAGATATACGACCCGCCCCGGCTTCGCATGGGTGCAATGTATTATACATATAAACCTTCCTCTTGAATCACTCTATCTAGTAAAAAAAACCGCATCAAGATTCGTTGCGTAGTTTTAAAGATCTAAGCATACACAGGGACAGACAGAATGCGGGACAACTTTGTTTTATAGTGTGTAGTGTTTATACATGGGAGTATCGTGTCGTGGCTGACACTGGAAATAGGGCCAACACTATCTGATTAACACGAGACTGCGCCGATTCATTTTCTGTATACGTATTCTAATTTAATTTCAGAACACCATTGTAACGGATTAATCAGTAAATGAATGAACAATTATTAAACCATCCGAGCTCTCACGGTATTAATAGCATGATATAGTAACGTGTGTAGGCTCAAAGTAAGACATAATTATAATACACAAAAGTTATTCAAAATGAACCCCTTAACTCACGTCTTTTGAATCTAACGTGAGATATAATTTAACGCTATTAATGTTTCACAAGGCTTATTAAGTTACAAACGCAGGTATTTTTTTTAATTACTTCTCTTTGTTATCTCTGTACTCGGTCATTATATATATTGGGTTCGGTATAGCGGTCATATAATTCCATATTAATTTTATTGGAATTGGATCTTGTACTCCAGAGCAAATCCTAGTACTCCAATCGGTAGCTCTTCAAAATCGAATAGTAAACATATAGAAAGTAAGTTAGAAGTTTGTTAGTAAATATGTTTTACTTGTTTCATTTTTTTTTTTCAAAGGGGTGACATCTAAATGACAAGATAAACATTATGAAATTTGTTGATGAAAATGTTTCAATAGTGTTATTGCTAATGAAAAACATGAGTAGACCGTAATCCAAATTCTACATTTTCGAACAATGAGGGTAAAATTTCTTATCAAAATAAAAATTTCGATCAACAATTGTTTCATTTTATTCCAGCGAATTCAATAAAACATCCGAAAAGAACAAAGACTCTCAAGAAAGTAGGATCAACACGAGGCTCACCGTCAATGCCATGTCAAATAATTTGACTGAATGGAACTCTAGAATTAATTAAATGGCAATCGGTCGCTGTTGGATTGCGTAGGGATACTCGAAGACGCGGCTATATTTCGGCCTCAACGCTGTCAAGAACACGCCTCAAATTGTCCTCACGGGTCAAGGACAGTTTGGGAGAGGGAACGGCAATTTTCATCTGTTCTGCAAGCCGTCAGAGTTTGATCCCAACTTGAATTAAAGAACCTTCCAAAAACAAATAAGATGAACCTAAAATTAATATGTAAAACACGGAGTAGCCTGTTATAAATGCGCAACTACTTCTAAAAAATAAAATCTTTCAACTATTTAATTAATTCAAAATTTAATCAAATATCAATAATGAATAATAAACAATGTTTTGTGTTAGGTTCACGCATCAGTTTGGCAGGTCCGTCCGGGGAAGTACCACGATCTCACAGAATACCAGCGTCAAGTGGAAGTGGAAGTGTTATACTTCTGCGTTTTGTCTGGTGAATGAGGTACCGGGTACCCGGGTACCCGGGACTCACTTTAAAACGTGGCAAGGCATCTGCAATCCTACAGGTGTTGCAAATGTCCATGGGCGTCGGTTATCACTTAACATCAGGTGAACCGCTAGCTCGATTCCCACCTTCTCGCATAAAAAGATACTTTTGTAATTCAAATATATAATAAAGACAACAGTGCTTATAGCTGATATTCTTAAGTTAAACCATTTGACGAATTATATTATACCGGACGTACGTTAAAACCGTTTACAGTAAATCAACTCTGAAAAACGTAGAGCACACGTATGGCTACACCAAATACTACTACTAAGAACGCGGGACTCTGTATTAGAGTATTTGTCATTTATTTATAAAAACCGGCCAAAAGCGAGTCGGACTCGTGCACTTAGGGTTCCGTATCAGTACCCAAAAAAATCATGTCTGTTGTATAGGAGCGCCACTTAAATATTCTTTATTCTGTTTTTTAGCATTTGTTGTTATAGCAGCAACAGAAATAAATCACTTAATATATAAAAACTAATATAATGACGGGGTTGACGTCCGTCGATGACAGTTTGGTTAAATTATGGGTATAGATTGAAAGAAGATTCGAATTCTAGAACTTTATTTAAAAAACGAACGAAATTCCGTCTATAACAGGGGCTCGGAGTGACCTAGATGGCAGTTCAGTGGAGGAACTCGAAGAAGAAGGAACAGGAAGAAGAAAGTGGAAAAGTGAATTAAATAGTGAGTGAACAGTATTTTTTTTTGACTGGATGAGCCATTGTTGGGCTTAGGGGCCTTCACAGATCCGACGGACTTGAGGTGGCCTGGCGCACGGGACGCCTAGTAGTGTAGCCTAGTAGGAGGGACGCCTAGCCTGAGCCTTGGATGAACAGTATAGTAGTGAACAGTGACGTGATGTGACTAGTAGTGTAAAGGCGTACGCGATGGATTGGTACGGTAACGTGTGGATCTTTGCACCAGTGGACGCGTACGTGGAGATTGGTGCGAGAGGGTGCGCACCGGCAGTCGTGTCACTGTAAGATTGTTGCGTAACGGGAGAGTCGCACCGGTAGTAGTAGTAAGGACTAAAACGCTATTGAGAGGTTCGCTGTGCAAGTCTATGTTGGCGTCAATAAAGAAAACATTTAAACGGCGTTTCAGTCCAATCTCGACCCCCATCTCGTAACATTAACACTATTACAACGATAACAAAAATAACACTAACAAAATTGGTATAAAGCTAATTTTCAGTATTTTTTATTGAAACAGTTTAAAAACATCGCTGAGTTCCTTAACAGTGCGTTCTGGTGTATATTAGGATTCAGTGACGGATTATAAAGTCCGTGTGAGATTACAAGGAGCCAGAATAAATAATTTCTACTTTAGCTTTTGAGAGAAATACATCAATGTAATTTGTTGTAATTAATAATGTTATTTCAATTATTCACATGAAAAATCAAATTATCGTGAGCTCTTTTTAACAATGTGAGATTGGTGAGAGATTTGTTGTACTAAAACAGCTTATCCTAAGTAACGTAAGTTGCGTTATCACCGCTTGCATACTACAAAGTGTGTTCACTGTCTCATGTAGAATCTGCATATCCTAGAAGCAGAACGTGAATAATACATAATTATACATCCCGAGGATTTCGTAATAAAATATTTTATTAGTGCATTTAAAAGTTTGAATATTTAAAAGGTTGAAAAATTTTACAGGTATTTATTAAAAAAAATTTAATCTTATTTTTTTTCTAATTTACCTATTAGTACTACTTTGTTCCCTAGGTTCCCCTTATTTTAATGTAAATATGTTTAAAATATTTCTTTACAAACAGAAGATAACAAGAAACCGAGATCAAATGTTTATTTTTGATTCCACATTTCCCGTCTTTAAACTAGAGGCTACGGATTAAGCATACTCCAAATGACAACCTTTTTCAAACTACATCAGAAAGATCTTATCGAAACAACCCTTTAAATTTAACAACGTTTTCATATAACTCGTTCAACGCAATAAAACACTTAAAAAGAACAATGACTGTCATATTTAGTTGGGACAATTAACCGGGCACACTATAACAGTCTGTGGTGACTTTAACATAAATTTATTAGAAAATTCTACCACCTCTACTAGATTTAGATCATTGTTAAATTCATATAACCTTGCCAATTTATTCCTTGAACCACAAGAATCACTACTTCTTCCGCAGCTTGTTTAGATAACATATTTACAAATTGTAACCCAATTAACAAGTCTATTATTAATATATTTACTTCAGACCATTGCGGACAACTTGCCACTTTTAAATCATATATAAAAAATAGTAGTGCTAAGGTACAAAAAATAATGGTTGTTCCTGTAAATAGAACTCGGGTTGAGAAGTTTAGAAGTAATATAACAAAAAAGCTGACGTATCTACCTTATAATGATAGCCCCAATTCACTTTACAACATATTATTTAATTTAATTAAAGTGGAATTTAATACTATATTTACTCCTAAGACAGTCAAACCTAAAAGCTCTGTAGTTTTCAATGAATGGGCAACAGTCGGAATTCATAATAGTAGACGTAGATTGTATGAAATTTATAGTGAAAGGACATACAATCATAGTCAATGTTTTGTTTCTTATGTTAGTGCCTACTCTAAAATATTTAAAAAAGCTTGTTATACTGCTAAATCTCTATATATTAGGAATAAAATAAAAAATGCACCTGATAGAATCAAAATGACTTGGAAAATAATTAATAGCGAAACGGGAAGAGTCACGAAGCGCAAATCTGACCTAATGTTAACTAATGATAATAATTCTATTAACTCAAATCAACAGGCTGCTACTTTCTTCGAGAAATTTTTCGTTGACATTCCAGTTTCAACAACCAAGTCACTTCTTTCCTCACCGACAGTTGCTGAGTCATTACTAAAAAAGAATGTTATGGAATGTAAAGTCAACTTTAAATTTACTACTGTAAACAAGACAGAAATTGTTAAAACTTTTAAAACTTTAGATGTTAAAAGAACTGCAGATCTATGGGGGATCTCGGTTAAGGTGATCAGTTCTATTATTGATGTAATATCACCTTACCTAGCAACTATTTTTAATATTTGTATCAATCGTGGCGAATTTCCTGACCTTATGAAACGTAGTAAAATCATTCCGGTGTTTAAATCTGGTAGTACTTCCGACCCCAATAATTTAGGACCTATCTCTGTACTGCCAACTCTTAGTAAAATTTTTGAAAAAATCATGTTGAATCAAATGTTACAGCATTTTAGCTCTCATAACTTATTACATAACAAGCAATATGGGTTTACTAGGGGTCGCTCAATAACTGATGCGGGTGTTCAGCTCGTTATGAATATTTTTGAAGCCTGGGAAAAGTCGCAGGATGCCTTAGGAATATTCTGTGACTTAACCAAAGCTTTCGATTGTGTACAGCATGAGACCTTGGTCAGGAAACTACGCCACTATGGTATAAGAGATGCCGCACTCAATCTTCTGAAATCGTACTTGAGCCATCGAATTCAGAGAGTTGACGTGAATGGCAAGAGATCTCCCGGGGCCTTGGTAAATATGGGGTCCCGCAGGGATCTATTCTTGGGCCTTTTCTCTTCCTCATTTACATAAATGATCTACCTTATCTTGTTAATAATAATCATGAGATAGTATTGTTTGCGGATGATACCTCTTTAATCTTTAAAGTAAACCGACGTTCTTTAAGTTATGACGATGTAAACAATACTCTATCTACTGCAGTACATTGGTTTAGTGCTAACAATTTACTGTTGAATAATAAAAAAACTAAATGTATTAAATTTACAACTTCCTCCAATGTTAAACATGTAAAAAACTGATGTACTTTTATATGGGGAAGCGTTGGACCCTATTGACTCAACTGTATTCCTTGGCATAACTATTGATGCCAAACTGCAATGGGGCCCCCATTATATTATTGGACGAATGGTCCATCCGGGTAAGTACCACGACATCACAGTAACTGGCGTAAAGTAGAAGTGTTACATTTCTGCGTTTCGTCTGGTGAGTGAGGTAGCCGGGCCTCACTTTATTTAAAGGTGGCAACGCATTTGCAAACCTACGGGTGTTGCAAATGTCCATGGGCGGCTCTTACCACTTAACATCAGGTGAACCGCCCGCTCGTTTGCTATTTAGTCACATAAAAAAAAAACTTGTATCACTAATCGGTTTCGTAAACAAGTTTTGTAAAACAAAGGTATGCATACTGACTGAAAAACTACCAGCAATCAAACTGTGACAGAGCTGGATATTTGTGGAGATTTATTTGTTGATACGCGTGAAATTTCAGTAATAGAGTCGGAATGGTTTTCCGCCGATCGGAGTGAGTCCGACCTGATCGATACGTTACATTAAGTTTTGTGTTGGCGAACACGTTAGTGGTATCGTAGGTGTGTCTTTCTTGTTTGTGGTACGTAAATGGATTAAATTAATTATTATTAAAATTAAATTAAAACAATATGAAGTTAACTTTATAGAAACTAGTATTATTTTCATAATTATTGGTATACAGCATACTTTGCAGTAAAATAAATTGCCGAGTATTTCTCGCACCTGTCAATTTTCACTGCATTATTAGACTCTGCGATGTTGGCGAAAGGCAGAATGCACTAGCTATATATCTATCTACCACTTTAAGGTTAAGCAACTAAGATTTATTGTTATAATATATATATTTTAATGGTGGTAGGGCCACGCAGCAGCCTCGGCTGTACGAGGCAGCACGAATGGGCATGCTCGTCCGGGTAAGTACCACGACTTCACAGAAGACCGGCGTAAAGTGGAAGTATGACAAATATGTAGTATGATAAATAGTGAGTGAGGTAGCCGGAAACCAATTTCCAAAAAGGTTGTCAACGCATCTGCAAACCCTCGGGTGTAGCACATGTTTATGGGCGGCGGTATTCACTTAACATCAGGTGAACCGTCTGCTTGTTTGGCAACTTTTCACATTAAAAAAAAAATAATAATATGTAACATTGTTCATTCAATTATTGTTTAATATAACCTCAATATATTCAATTACTGTTATAATACTACACTTCCAAACGTTAAAGTTCTTACATGCTATCTTGACTTTGCTACGAACTTAAAATACGTTCTGTTTTTCACTGTGGTAGGGCCAAAATAGAAGCATATATCATCCGGTGAGTGAGGTAACACCTCTGCAACCCATCAGGTGTAGCAGTTGTCCTTATACGGCAGGCATCACTTAACATTAGGTGAACCGTCTGGTATGCTTCTCACTTTTTCAACATTAAAAATAAGACCTGTACAACGGTAAATTCACTGAACCTTTTGTTGTCCAAAGCAAACATTTAGCAACTCAAATTCTAGCCAAAATTCTGTTAAATGTAACAGAAAATTAAATAAATTTAAGTAATGAAATTAGCCTTGAATAATAACCGACCCAAGTGTCCGCGTCCGACGAACTGTAAATTATAGCTGAGGTCACGGTGGGGCACTTTGAGTGAGCTATGGAGTTAATAACTTTAAAAAGTAATTGGCGTAAATAATCGCAGGATATGTATATAACAGATTTCTTATTTTGATACATTGACGCGCTTTTACTGCCTATGTAAGTAGATCGATGAAGGAGTGTATGCATAACTGTGTGTTTATGTATTGAAATGTAACAGATTGTTAAGATATTTTTTTATCAACGTACACACATTCAAACAACATGACTATGATAACCTGATGGCGGATTTCTTTAGTGAAAATAGCAAGTTTTAATTATTTTTTTTTTCTTGAAACCTATAAGCAACCGCTGAATTCTGCTTGTTGATTATTTCATTAGTGATTTTTCTTTACCGAATAAAATGTTTGTTATGTGTTGATGACTATATCTACAATTTCCCTTTGTATCGTGCAAATTAAATAACCAAAACAGTCTTATCAATTTTCGTACATTATTTTATTTTATTTTACTAGGGATAACAAACAGCTATTTATGATATAAACAGATCTGCTCCGCTAAGGTAGCAATAATATTGCAGCCAACTACATTACCCACGTAATAAACAAGCATACAAATATTACATTATTAGGTATGAGTTTTCCGAGTACTTTATCAAGTGGTAAAATTGTTTAAATACTTCAGTTAGTAAAGTCCATTCTCTATTTTAATACTCCAAACATTAGAACAATGTTTATACCTAAATTTTGTTGCAAAAACATCTATACACTATGTATTCAACAGAAACAGTAATTTTTGTTCGATTTATTTTCTCATTACCAACATTGGTAGTCTTAAGACACACATACCGTACACACACACTCTACACATGCATGCAGGAACACTTCACACAAATATATTTATGGTTGTATTAAGTTGTAGCTAACACTCGTTAATGTTTTCTTGCTCTTACGTAATGCCCGATGTATTTTTTTAAATATGTAAATCCTTCTTTGGCTTAAAGTTCAGTATAATAAGCAACAAAATGCTTATTTTGTTGTTAAATAAAAAATATGCACATAATATAATATAATATAATATAATGATATATTAAACTTCAGATCTCAATACTTTACAAACTCTTCATGAATTTAAATTAGTGTTGATTCCTGTAATTTTATTATACTTATCAACTTGCCAAAGATTACCAACAGTTTTTTACTATCTAGATATTGTTGGTAAGAAAATAATAAGGCGTAACGTTTACATCTATTATGGCCAGTGGCATTGAAATTTGTTTGACGAAACGGAAAGATTTTTGATGAAAATGATTTATCAGTATGGTCACTTAATTCTCAATAAAAAAAATATTTATTTATTTTACATTACACAAGGTGTGATTTATGATGGTGCAATTATAATTGTTTTAATTCCACTTGTATAGTCAATATATACTTACAAATAGCTTGCAAATATATCTTCTTGACCTTAACACTGTTCGAATCCGTAACATATTATAGGTATTTCCTCTAATAATACCTCTCGAAATATATTACCCCTGCCTCAAATACACGTAGATTACATCAGAGACGTTAACGAGCTCTAGCTTAATTTTTTTAAAGTTGTCAAGCGAGCGGGTGGTTCACCTGATGTTAAGTGAATACCACCGCCCATGGACATCTGCCACATCCGAGGGTTCCAGATGCGTTGACAACCTTTTGAAAATTGGGCTCCGGCCACCTCACTCACCAGACGAAACGCGAAAGTATTATACTTCCACTTTACGCCGGTCTTTTGTGAGGTCGTGGTACTTACCCGGACGAGCCTGCCCATTCGTGCAACAGCCGAGGCTGCTGCGTGGCCCTACCACCGTTAGATAAGCTTAAAATAAAAAAGTTCGCAGTAAACGAATTACTTCAAAGTTTCCAACTTAAAAACTTAAATCCCCGCTACGCATAAAATTTCCGCAAAAACCGCAACGCATGTCGAAACTTTTAATTCGCTGTTAATCTCACAGAAAACGCTATGCCGTTTAACATACTTGTCTCTTTAAAAATGAAATTGTAATCTACCCCGTGATTTTATTTATTTAGCTGGTGGTGAATTATCTATTGTGTGGAAGGGTAAAACAAAACATAAACTAAGCTCATTCTGTTCTATTATTACAACGAGACAAGAAAGGAAGGACCTATTATGATGTCGAAGAATACATTGGACAAAGATGTGTGTAAATGACTCTCGTTCTGCACTTGCTTGTCCCCTGGCTTCTGTTTATATTTAAATATTATTGTGTATGTACTTACATAATTCAAAAAAATATATAAGACCGCAGATTTTCTTGCCGGTTTGGTAGTTTAGTGAACTGGTGGTAATTTTCGACGTTCAATAAGAGCTTAAAATAAATCTATATTGAGTAAAGAAATTTTGACTTTGACAAATTGTATTTCTGTGAATATATGCCTTACTGCTGGGTTAAATCCTCAATCAAATCAAAAAAATAATATTTATAATACTTACTGTAATAGTGTATTATATTTATTCCATTTACCGTTTTAATTCAAAATGTAATATAACTTAAATATGTCTATTACGGAACCGCATAAATATGTATGAATTATTAGTTTCATTTGCGTACGTGCCATATGGTCATGGAGCATGCGCGTGAATGATAAAAAATATATTCCATCGTCAGCTATTATTTTCCTCCCTCCGTCCTACTTCCGTAGTAATATATGTCATAAATCAGCCTCGAGGCTCTCAGGGTGGGGACACGAAAAAAGCCGACAAATTGGCGCTTCGAACATCGGGAGAGAGCGATTTTTCTCAGTAAATTGCCGTATAACTTATAATCGAAAGAGCTTTTTAAAGTTTTAAAATATGGCTACGGAATAAACTACAAGCTCAGATCTTTACTTTAAGGTTTTAATCCACCTTCGTCCAGTTTTTAAGTTGGCAGAAATATTACTCCTTTATGATGATGACAAAGCAGAAGTAAAATTTTATGTGAGAAGCGACATTCATAGAAATATTTAAATATTTTAAAACCGAATCAATGTTAGATTTCACTATTTGACAGCAAATCTATGCTTTATTTTAATGTTTTTTTTTCTGTTCTTTTTCCTTGTTTTGAAAGGTTTTGAAAGAAAAATAATCTTCTTTTCGGACAACGAACTCCCCGAGTTCGATATTCGTCGTCGGCTGTCGGTAGTAAATAGTAGGTAGTTAATTATTATAATGATATAATCGCGAAACGTTTTTAATGGAAAGTTAAGCAATAACTCCGATAATCCACACTTTTTAAATTGTTATTTAACATGTACTATGTAAAATTTTCTCAAAGTTCAGTGAATATTGTAATATTCTTTTTTGAGAAATAAATATTTCTTTGGACCTAAATATCTTCTGAATGTGTTGTTAACTATTCATAATTTTTTTCATAAGATTCATTTTCTTGAAACATTTAATGAGAATCTAATTAATAAAAAATTAAATTCGATGACCCGGTGGCGCAGTTCCTAAGCTTTTGGCTTCGGCAACGCGGGTGAGTTCGATTATCACACAAGGCAAGAACTTGTGTGACCCATAGATGGTACCCAAGGGGAGTTAAAAACGTAGCCAAAATCCGCTTACCATATGATTAACATCTTGTACCCACCCCAGCTAAGTTAAGGGCAGGAAGATTATGATGACGATGCTTTCGTGAAAATTCTAAACATGTTTACGACGCTACTATATCGGAAATCGTATTTTATATGGGAGATATCGGATGAAAAAAAACATACAAGAGAATGTTTATCGCGTTATTAACGTTAACTGCTACATTTAAGTGGTTATTGCGTGAACTTCTCCGTGCCAAACAACACTTTGTGACTAGTTGTGAGTTACTTAACGTATCATTTTTTATTGCTCGTCATGTTATTGTGAAACCTTTTGACAATAATATTAAGGAAATATTTATATGAATACGTTATTCACTCATGGCTTTGTTTATATATAAGACTAGCGGACCCAACAGACGTCGTCCTGTACACACGACTTAAATCCTACACCTTATACTAATACCTTTCTCAAATCGACTTGAAGATGCACAAAAAATTTCATTAAAATCGATCCAGCCGTTTAGGAGGAGTTCAGTGACATACACACGTACAGAAGAATCACTACATAGTATAAAACAAAGTCGTCCCGCTGTCTGTTGTCCCTATGTATGCTAACTCAACTCAACGGATCTTGACGCGGTTTTTTTTACTAGATAGAGTGATTCAAGAGGAAGGTTTATATGTATAAAACATTGCACCCTTGCTAGGGTCGCTAGTAATATATACAAAGATGACTCGGTGGTGCTCAGCTTCGGCGTCGGGGTTCGTGGGTTCGATTCCCGCACTGGACAAGTATTTGTGAAGCCCATATTTAATTGTTCCTAATATGGGTGGTTAGGACCGGAAAGCAATACCACTAACAACATGATGCGGAATTTAGTGCTAACCCCACATAAGTGGGATAAGTGCAGAAGGAGAAAAGATATACGATCAAATTACGTTACAACAAAAATCGTAGTTGCATATATCTCATTCCTCCCGCCCCTTTCCATCATCGGACAACCAGGCGTTCGGCGGCGCTCCACCCTTATGCTGTCGACGTTCCACGTACAAGAACAAAGCGACTCGCTTCTTCATTTATCATCCGTACAGCTAAGGAATGGAATAGCCTGCCTGCGTCCGTCTTTCCGTCCGAATACAACGTTGGCGTCTTCAAGGCAAGAGTGAATAGGTTTCTACTGAGCTAGCGCGCTTACCATCCACGGCTGCATCGCCAGTTACCATCAGGTGGCGTGGCAGTCAAGTGCTAGCCAGTTTTTTAATTTAAAAAAATATATCTTTTTTTATATCAGAAGGTGGCAAGCGAGCTGATGGTTCACCTGATGTTAAGCGATAACAACCGCCCATGCACATTTGCAACACTCGAAGGGTTACAAATGCGTTGCCACCATTAAAAAAATGGGCTCCGAAAAATTGGTTACCTCACTTACCGAATGAAACGCAGATAAACACTTTTACTTCACGGCGGTCTTTTTAAGGTCGCTTTCTTGGGAACACGTAGCTATTTTTAGGGTTCCGTATCCAAAGGGTAAAACGGGACCCTATTACTAAGACTCCGCTGTCTGTCTGTTCGTCTATCTGTCTGTCTGTCTGTCCGACTGTTACCAGGCCCTCTGATGAACCACGATAATTAGGCAGTTGAAATTTTGACAGATGATGTATTTCTGCAATATGCTATAACAAAAAATACGAAAAACGAGAATAAAAAATATTTAAGTGGGGGCTCCCATACAACAGGCACAATGTTTTTGCCGTTTTTATAGACATTAGTCCGGAACCATTCGTTCGCGAGTCCTACTCGCACTTGGCCGGGTTTTTAATATTGAAACGACATTTAAATATCCTTGTAATATAGAAAGGCATTTTAGTAAGCGGCCATAACTGGTTTCGGTTTTGTGTCGGTCTAATGGACTACCTTTGGAATATCACGTGTAAAACTGAAATTCTCATTCACAGACCACGCGTCAGCTCTGGTGGGAAATACGGCGCGCCTACGCTGCCGCATCGATGGAAAATCGTGCGGCGAGATGCACAGCATAAAGTGGTATAAGGCTGACTCCAGGGTTTACGTGTACTCCGCCTCCAAAGATGCGGCCATCAATAGGCCAGAGGGCGATATGATGGACAGGTATGTAATAATTTTTTCTTGAAAGACACAAAGTACAACTTTCTTATAATCACTAAACTTTAAAATTCGTAGAACACAAATCTTAAACAAGAATCTTAAGTGCAGAGAGTGCACTATTATAATTAAAAAAAATCACTAAACTTTATTAAATAATGTAATAACCATTAATTATTAATGACCTCTTGATGGCGTGAGGACATTTTGTGTATTCCATTTTTGAAAAATAAATCATCTTATGATGTCAAAAACTGAACCAGTGCTTATTTGATACCTTCTTCATTTCTGAAGTTTTTGCCCCTCAAAAAACAATTACTTTTACACATTTTTTTATTAATAGCTATTCACATTTATCTCTCCCCTGTAGCATTCTTAAATCAGTGCAACACATATTTCAAGTATGTCCCTTCAGTTTTAAATCTATAAGACTAGACAAAAGATGATAATTTAATTACCGTATTCAACATTCAACATAAGTACGGAGCAAACGTTAAACTTTCGCCAAACGACAGAGATAAAGTTTGTGTCACGGTATTTTAATTAACAATATCATGTATAATAGCCATACTTCCGATCGCGTAGCACGTATGTCGTAGACCACACTCCCTACATGACCACGGCTACGTAGGAACATTATCTGTGAGATATTTAATCTTGTTAATTGTTGTTCTGCCAGCAGCCGGTCCGAAAGTTGCTTGTGAATATTCTAATAGGTTATGAATTTACGCAACCCTTGTCGTTTAAAGTAAAAGTAACAGCCTATACATGTCCCACTGCTGGGCAAAGGCCTTCTCTATACAGAGGGTATCAGGGCATAGTCCACCACACGGGCCCACTGCGGATTAGCGGACTTCACATATCTTCGAAAAATATTTTTTTTTTGTTATTATTTCGAAAATATGCAGATTTCCTCACGATGTTTTCCTTCACCGCGGAGCACGTGATAAGTTTAGCACTTAAAGTTAAAAACTGCATTGGTGCCGGCACCGGGGATCGAACTCAGGTTGCTCGAGTATATTGAATTAAAGACGAGCGCCCGGACACTGAGCTATCACGGCTCTTATATGTACTAATATATTTATTATTTGCTGTCACTCCTCTCATACATATTTTATAAATTTATATTTAACAGGTATATTAAAGTCGCGATTGATTGCTTTTCATTCAATTTCCATCTTTGTCATCAGAATGTCGATATCGCACGAAGTGAACGCCACGTATGCTGAGCTGGTGATTACCAACGTGCAGCCTGATGATGAAGGGATATACCGCTGCGAGATCACGTATCTTCAAGTCGGCGAAGACTGCAACACTGTCCAAGTCACGGACTTTCACACGTACGGTAAGATTATCACGCATTTCCTATTGCTTAACCTACAAGAAAATATCATATAGTTATCGGTGTGAATCTTACGTTTGTTGTATGTTTATGTGTATGTTGAAATGAATCCAGTCTTCAGATTTGTGGTAATTATTTTTTTACATATCTATTATAAGATGGTATTTATACAAGTTTGACAATTTAACAATTTTAGGAGACATCGCGATTGACCCATTAGTTTTGCAGCCCAGTTTACATTAAACATACACACTTTATGAGAACAATAACAAATACATATAAATTATAATAAACACAAAAAGTCCATGTCACGATCCACATGTCAGACCACATTGGCCCATAACTGGCTTTTGTTATGCACGCATGTCCACATGTCACATGACTCTGCTTACGTAGGGTCTATCAAGTTCGTGAAAAAGTAGTAAACGTTTTTCTTGTCCATAGTCAAGCCGAAGTCAGTGGAAATGAGGACTAGCGATGGTAGAGTTCTGGAAGACGACACCGTCTTCGGGCCCCTCCTGGAGAGGTCAAGGGTCAGCGTCAGCTGCGTGGTCAGTGGGGGCAAGCCCCAGCCCTCAGTGGCTTGGTACTTCAAAGGGGAAGCTGTGCAAGACGGTGAGTGAGTTGCATCACTTCTTAAACAAAAAATAAAAACACCAATTTGCCTATTCTTATAAATCAAAGATTAATGAGATATTGTGGATAATAGGCATAGCAGAATTAAACATCTGTAGTTTATTATATACCCGATGCACACAGATATATCCAGTTGATGTTGCATTTTCATTTTTTTATTTGATAAACCATCACTTATTTGGAGCTAAATATTGAATAGATACAATAGGGTTGATTTAATGTTGAGATAAAGTTTCACTTGACGTTTACCCCAAATAGGCTATAATATCCTTGCTGTACCCCACAAAGGAGGGATCACAGCTGAAAAAGAACAAGTATAGTATATAGTATATATGGGTAGCATAGGTATTACAGACGCCATAAACTATATCAATTAATTATAATGAATGGTTAAGACTCGAAAAATTAGCACAAAGTCTAATGGAGCTTCTGCTTGTTGCAGCGCTAACCGAGACACCGGAAAAATCGACCGTGCAACAAGTTCTATCGATGATCGTGACAAGGTCTGAGCTTCGTGGCGAACTCAAATGTGTCGTGTCTTCAGCGGCACTTGAGGAGCCAATAGTCAAGAGAGTGGAGTTGGACGTCAAAGGTAATCGAACGAACGAATCGTCTTCTGTGAGTTCATTTGTATTATAAATCCTTCATAAATCCACAGATTTAAAGTATTGAAGAGATTACTTCAATTTCTAATTAAAAAAAATTGTTCCTTACACGCCATAATATCCATAACACTTCTCTAAATTCATAAATATCATATTTAATAGGCCAACGTTGAATCCGAACAAATCCCTTACGTCGACGGAAAAATAATTACAGGAGATTACCGTTAATGATCGATGTCTTTGCAGAAATAATGCCGGACTGGGAACACTGATTCTATACTAACATTTTTTTGACTCATAGTTGTTGGATATAGAATTTAAGGTTATATAATAACAATTTCTGATATAATTAATTACTACATTAATACATTGAATACTACACGTTATTTTGCACCCTTTACCACGTTTTATTCGAAACTCTTCACAGCGTTCACGGTCAAGGTCAAAAAATTAATTATGTTTTAGAGGTACAAGGAATTTTCTGAGGAATACATAATAAAGTCATTTAATCAAGAGTATGGTATTATTGCTATTATTATGACAATTATTACTTTATGTTAGGTTGACTGGTAAATAATACCGGTAGAATTAAGTCCGCCTCTGTACTGTATTTTGTGTGCATAAAGACTAAAAAAAACCCATGACATCTGAAGCCGAAGCCATTACTTTGGCAGCTGCGCCACGGAGTCATCAATATCTCTGTCTGAGAGACATTGATGTCTCCGTGGCTTGTGCGCATATAATATATGCTTTACTAGAAATGTAGGAACCGCGTGTGGTAAGATAATTTACTTGTTTTGCGCTCCATACAAAATACAATAGCGTCAGCTTTCCTCAGAATTTCATGAACATTATCATTATCATTTCACCCTATTTGAGTCCACTACTGAACAAAGGCCTCCCCCATAGACTGCCACGAAGTACTACTCTGAGCCACCTGCATCCATCAACCTCCTGCACATTTGCACAGATCGTCACTCCATTTAGTGGGGTGTTGCACTACACTGCAATGGCCAGAACGAGGCTGCCACTCGAGAAAATTTCTTCCCCAACCTTAATCGGTTCTACGAGAAACTTATTTCTTTTTTTCTAATTCTAACTAACTAACCTCACCTAAAATCTCAATTTTATGACTGCTTATATACGAATTTTTGAAATTGTAGCATTACTTTCAGTTCCTCCAAACAAAATATCCATATCCGGTATCGAGGAACACGCGATCCAGGGGACTCTGATTACGCTAATGTGCGAGGTTTCAGGGGCAAGACCAGCCGCCCGTATCGACTGGTACAACGGAACACAGAAGCTGGATGATACCGGCATTCAGGTATGTCTAATATTCTTGCTTGAGTGAAGTACATGTGATGGCATTTAGAAAACGGAAATCACCATCAACTAAATTTTAACGGACATGGGATAGTCGACAAAACTATACACATTATGCTTTTCGGAAGTTGTATGCTACTTTAAAATTAAAATATGTAGAAAAAAAACTGTATGCTACTGCTGACGTGATGTGAAGCGGAACTATATGAAGTGCGGTATCTGACTTCGAAGCTGAGCTGAGCAAGCCAACACGCTGAGGCGTACGTAAGCAGTGCCCAGTCGTAGCAGTTACGTAGCACGTGGTATATTGTCTCTACATAGCATCTACGTAACGTCTACGTACCGCCTACGTAGCTCGTGTAGCCCCAATAATAGATTTTCTCTTTGAATCGTAACAGTGTTAGATTATTTGGATCTACGAAACGCCACTAACACACGATGACAATTTTACGAACTTGGGCGTCCGCACAATTAATTTCTCGAGTTGTAAGAAAAAAATATTAAAACTTTTTTCATCTCTACGGTTTAAGGTCTTATTATTTAGTGTGAAATGTGCACTATGCACTTAGACTAAAAAAGTAAAGTAACAGTCAGAAAAGACAGTCTATATAAATAATTTCATTCAACAATAATTTATATATTGCTCTCTTTGTTTCATCTATCGCGAGCGGCAGAATGTGATAGAAATGGTAAGTTTTTAATGTTCACAGTTAAAAATCTCCCAACTGAATAACAATTATAAAAATAATCTTAAGTTTTCTCAAAATTTAACATCACGCAAACAGTTAACATAAAAACACAGAAACGATAATTTTTTTAAACTTACAAAACTGGTTTGATATTGATGAATTTAATAATAACTTTTTGCCATTTTTACCATTTATAACCAATACGTATATACCTTTCGTGTAACAAAACAAAGTGTATATTTTCATTGAGTTTATGTTTTATGGTTCACAGAGCGATTCAACCTTTGTCACTAATTCAAACCTGACCTTTGAGGCGACCCGTTTTGAGAACGGCCGCAACTTTCGCTGTGTGGCCACCAATGACGTCATGACCGAAGCAAAGGAACAACCTTTATATGCTACGCGCGAGTTAGAAGTTTGGTGTGAGTAGACTAACGACGACCAATTTATCCTATATATTTTTATGCAAATATACAAATTTTAATTTTTATAGTGCTAATCTCTGATTTAATTTTATAGTGCTGATCAAACATTAAAATTTGTAGAAAAAAGTAGGAAAAGTTTTTCCTACTTTTCCTCAATTCATTTGCTTCAAATGTTAAAAAACAATGTAGATAAAAGACGAAGATTTTCGTCGGTGTGGCAATCAGCTGTTTAACTTAGTGGGTAAAGCGTCAGGCCGCAAATACCGAAGACGTAGCTTTGATTCCCACAGCAACGAAAAACTTTTCGTGCTTTTTTCTACATATTTTAATAAACCAGTAAACGATTAGGCGTAAGCTACGTCTAATCGTTTACTGGTTTATTTATTAGACCAGCGGTCATTAACTTCAATAAAACCGCCACTTTTAATCAATAAGGCAGAATGCTTTATAACGGGGCTTGCTTTTCTATTTTGTTTAATTATCTTTCATGGTAAATAAGTTTAACTATATTTAAACTTATCAACAGACCCACCACTAGTCCACTTAAGACCGAAGAACATAAACGTAGTAGAAGGTTCTAAGATCCACCTGGAATGCGACTATGAAAGTAACCCTTCGTCCCTCAAACGAAGTTACCTGGTAAGTTAATACCAATTAGCTAACTGACTGATTGTAATATTTACAATAACCCTGATGATCTTTATTATTTATGTTACAATTTGTTCTTGCTGTAGTTCATTCTATGTATAGTAACAAAAATTAAATGTGTGGTCAGTAGTTAGCGATAGTGTTCCTACATGGGACTTTATTGTGACCCACGGATAATTTTTAGGGTCTGAGTGTTTGTCCACGTGAAATTTATGTTTGTAAAATGTCCTTACAACACAAGATAAAGTTAATAATGCTATTATTTTTGTCATTTCTCTCTACTATTTTACCTTGATATTGGGCTTACTTTTGTATATTAAATTTTAACCGTTTTCATTTCATCAGGTACCGGAACGGCCAGAGACTTAATGTCAATAACACTCGCTATCAGGGGGGCACTACTGACCAGCACTCTCTTACGATCATGAAGGCTTGGGGCGAGGACATGGGCAAATACAGCTGCCTGTTATCGAACGCAGCGGGTAATGGGACAACGAACGGGACGATCGACGTCAATATCTTGTGTAAGTAGCCTTCTTGAAATATACAGCCTAATAACTGATCGATACATTGTATGAACACACTCATTTAACCGACTTCAAAAGAAGAGAATATATAGAAAAGAAGAGATATAAAAAAAAAGAACAAGAGAGAAGGTTCTCAATTCGACTGTATTTTTTTATGTTTCTTACCTCAGAACTTTCGACTGGGAGAACCGATTTAAATGACTTTTTTTTTTAAAGCTTTTAATATGGTCCCATATTAATTTCGTTGGGATTGGATCTTGTGCGTAAGATTATTTTGATATTTTCCTCAGTGGACTTACGAACGTTGATATTTTATAAATTGATTAATTTACTTGTTTACTTTGTTCTGTTGTGTTCCAGTTCTAGATCAAAGCAAATCTCGCTTTGCCAGAATTACTCACATGACTTTTCCTTACACCAGATAAACCCAAAAGGAGCCGTGATACTCAGTGTCCAGGCGCTCGCCTATAATTCTAATTTACTCGAGCAAACTGAGTTCGATCCCCGGTGCCGGCACCAACGAAACTGTTAATTTTAAGTGCTGACTTGTCACTTGCCAAGCGGTGAAAAAAAAATTGTAAGGAAACCTGCAAAAAATCACATTTCGAAGATATGTGAAGTTCGCCAGTCCGTAGAGGGGTCGCGTAATCGGTTAAGGTCGCGCGTAGGTGGACTCTGCTCTGTACCCTCCATACAGAGAAGGCCTTTGCCCAGCAGTGGGACAAAGTCAAAGTCAAAGTCAAATATCTTTATTCAATATAGAAGCATCCACTTACTTATTGATAGTCAAAAAACTCTACCACCGGTTCGAAAGGAAAGCCACTGACCTGAGAAGAACCGGCGTAAGAAACTCAGCGGGACATTTTTTTTTTTTACTTACCAAACAAATTACAAATATGTGTACAATTATTAAATTCCACTTGAAAGAGCCTGGAGCGATCAATCTATTTCCAGAGTGTGTTATCATTCAGATAATCACTAATATTATAATAGCCATTAAAACACAAACGGAGGACATGTATGGACTGTTACTTTACTTTAATTTTTTTACAGATAAACCCCAAGTCCGACTCATCATGAGCCCGCGGAGCCCCATCTTGGAAACCGAGCACAGAAACGTGACCCTTATTTGCGAGGTGGTATCAGGAAACCCATCTACCCTAGATGAGGTCATATGGTATCTCGATAACGAGGTGCTGAAACATCTGCCGGAATGTAATGATACAAACGGTAATACGCGATCGTGTTAACTTATCGGTAGGGTAGACGTAGTTTTTAAACTATTGGGTGCAACATTGGCAATTGTAGTTTCAATTTCAAAAGACAAATAATTTTGTCACCTATACATAATGTTCGAGATCTGGGTGTTTCTTCCTATGAGAGTTGAAGCCAAATAGGAATTCGTTCCTTAAATCCTAGCCGATCCGCTAAAAACATTTCTCTCAGATATTATGCTGACCCCACCTAGATGAGGTAACGTTAGGAAAATTATGATAATTTTCAGCAGAATTTATAGTTGGGCAATAATAGATTTTGCGATACGCCCATGAAAATAATAAAATTAACACACTAGTTTATTTGTATAGATATGTAGATTTATTAAGAGCCATTTAAACAAATAATCTATTGTGTTATTATTATTCTACAATTTTATAATTGCAATAAGAAAAATATAATTTTAAACTAAATATATATAATATACTGCAATAATAAAAGCCTCGACAAAATTATGGCATAAACTGGAAGCTACAAATAAACGTCCGTCAAAATAAATAAATTCGTGTTTGCTTTTAAACCAGTCAAAATATAACAAACATTAACACGGTGCAAAAAAACGCATACCACGCATATGTGGGAAAACGGCACTGATAAAAATAAAGCGTTTGTAGCATAAAAAGTCTACAAGGACAATGTATGGTCTTCTACCATAAGAGTCGTGTCAGTCGCTTTTTAAAAAACTTGGCTTGATATCATCGCAATCTCTTTACTTATATGGAGTTGTTATGGTTGTGTGGAAGCATTAACATTTATTTACAATAGATAAAGATACCAACTCCTCTTACTCGAAGATATGCATATAGACTTGTTCTGGACGACAATATTAGAATTAGCAAAAAAAAAATCTGTTCACCTATGTGTTCGCTTATATAGTAAGATTCAAAATTAATTCAAGGACATAATTTTTTTTGACTAAAATTGCATAAATGGTTGACGGATAACACATTTTAAAGCATTAAGTAGAATATTAATAAGCCATGAATAGTTGTTGTGTGCTGTTCTAATGTTAGCAGTGACTTCTGTTATGCAAAGAAATTATTATTATTCTTATTCCCGTGTTTCTTGACCATGTTTCCTATTCCTGCAGACAGCTTCTGCAACGACGTGGACCCCTCGATGCTCCTCTTGCAGGACACGACTAAAAGCTTTCACGGAAATTACTCCTGTAAAGGCAAGAACTCCGTTGGCTGGGGCAGTGAAAGTGCGAAGACAGAGCTGATAGTCAATTGTGAGTATTGCATTATGTGCGTTCGTTCATCACTTTTAATTGTGTATCAAAAGAGGACTAACGAACCTTTATTCGAACGGTTGTTCGGGTGTATACTGAGTTTATAAATTTTATCTACAAAGGCACCCAAATACGAGAGCCGTGCTAGCCTTTTACCCGGACGCTCGCTTTTAATTCAATATACTCGAGAAACCTGTATTCGATCCCTGGTGCCCGCACCAATGAAATAGTCAATTTTAAGTGCTGACTGATCACGTGCTCAGCGGTGAAGTAAAATATCGTGAGGTCCGGTTTCCTCACTCATTCGATTATGACATCACATTTTCGAAATAATAGCAATAAAATTAAAGTGAATAAAGCAGTTTATGTGAATAATAACTTACCGTATGTCGTATGTAACTGTAAAACAATTATTTTAAAGGATGCTTGTAAGGCGACCTATCTAAAATATACATAAAGGAATTCAACCATAAGGATGGAATATACTCCCTTGGGTAAGATTCTACAGTCCTCTATGTATATATATGTTTTCTGACATTTTGCATACATCAATAGATCCACCGGGCCCCGCCAAGCTCACGTACTTCCCGTGGCGAATCATCAAGGGCCAGTCCTTGGAATTAACCTGTACTGTAGAAGAGAAGGGCAGGCCCGAATCTATTAGGTAAAGACTTTATTCTACCATAGCTTCTTTTTACCAACTTGAAGAAAAAGGACATGGCTATAAACTGCGTATAACTCTTACTCCATCCTTACTTGCCATCGTGTGGAATGATAGGTAAGTAATAGTCTCAGTCTTGCATTGCACACATTGACCGTTCAGAAATTTATATTATTTCATATTATTATTTCATTTTCTTTATATCCCACCCGAATATAAGAGACAATTTTAATAATTTCAATAATAGATGGTTTTGAATTTATCACGAACTACTCTATGCTAAACTACCATATATAATTGTAATTGGTGCAAGACTGTGGGTATCAAGAGCAGTAATAATTACTGACATCAATAATAAGCAATTATTGAAGCCATTATTGCCTGCTTACCTGACAATAAAATTAATATAGATTACTTTTATTGCCAGGAGATATAGGTCTCCGAGCATTAAAATAGGAATTATACACCTCCCTTTTAAACAACTGGGAGATATAGATCTCCCTTCGATATTTTACCCTGATTATAATGTTGATAAATTTCGAATTATGTTGGTCTATTCAGTGGTCTACTCTGAGTACGTTAATCAGGAAATGTGATGGGTAGGATCCGCTGGCACCGAGATGGACGACTTGTCAGCGACGTAGTGACGGACAGCTGGACCATCGACCCTGTGACGCTCGACCACCGCGCCAACTTCTCGTGCCGTGGGAACAACTCGGCCGGCGAGGGGCCCCCAGCCTACGCCGCCATCGACGTTTTGGGTGAGGACTTCGACATATTCACTGTCATTCTTTCTCCCTTTCTCGTTTCACGTCACATATTGTCCACTAATTATTTTTTTACTAACGAAAAACAAAACTGACTTCAAATGTCTCGCTCTGTATTCATTTTAGAGTTGATTTTCAGTAATTACCTAAGTATCTCCGGATCCCAAGATCCAATACCGATGAAATTAATATGGGAAGCATCAGCTTTCATGGGAAGCATCAGCTTTCACAAAGTCAAAAAAAAAATCATCATAAAAAAATCATTTCACTCAGTCAAAAGTTCTGAGGTAACAAACATATTGTTATACGTCCAAGGATATTTGCAGCTCTCGTAGCATTGTAAATGCTTTTATAAAGTGGGCCCCGGCTAACTCACCAGACGAAATGCAGAAGTTAAACACATCCACATCTTTGATGACTCCGTGGTGCTGTTGCCAAGATATTGGCTTCGACGTCGGGGGTCGTGGGTTCGATTCCCGCACGGGACAACTATTTGTGTGACCCACAGATACTTAATATATTAGTAATGTTTTTAAAAATAAAAATCTTTTCTTCGAGTCGTCATGATATTTACCCGGACGGACCTGCCTTATCTCTGCAAATCTCTGAAATGAAACATTTCAATTTGTAGAAAAAAGTCCGAAAAGTTTTACGCAGCCAAACCCATGTCTTCGGGATTCGCGCCCAGACATTTTAACGACTGAGCTAAACGGCTGATTATAAGCCGACGATAATCTCAACGTGTTTTTTTTATATTGTTGTATATAAACATTCTAATGGCGGAATTTTTTGCAGCGCCACCAAGCTTTAAATACGCCATGAACCAATACAGCGGTGCGCTGTACAGATCTCAGGCAAGTCACTATCTTTATACCAGTTATCAATAAAAAAACAAATGCTCGAGTGGCGTGGAACACACGGTTGGAACGAAATTCCTTTTGTAGTATTATTGATAAAGAAATATATTTTCGGAACATTCTTACACTTTTCCCGCTTAGCTCTAATCCGCCAAATCCATAACGTGCCATAAGGAACTTCGTTCCAAAGAAACGTAGGTACACGGCACACACGCCAGTACATGTATCCACTACGCGATTGTTGGTACTTTTAGTCGGTGAAAAGTCGAGAGCGTTATAACCGTGAGGGAAACAGTTGACATGGTTCTTGTAGTAGTAAAAGTAGTAACTTTTGCGAACAGGCACATAAACTTTCTTTTCCTATGCCGTTGCGACCGAATAAAGTGAAAGCAAACTTTGCAGAGCATTGAAGAAATTATCTTTCTCCTCGTCTTAGCTTATATTTTTTCTGTCTGTCAAGTTGAAGTAATTTCATTTAGAGTTTTACGTCAGTTCTTGTTTCGGATTTTATCCGTAAAAGAAACGCCAGGCTATCTCTCGATCGCTCACAGAGAGAGAGAGAGCTTTGCGCGGTGTCGCTGTGCAACTTGCAGCCTTTGGACCAGTCTAGTGGTGAGAGACCAATTATCTAACTGAGTCTTCTCTCTAATCGGTCTCCCGACCATAGGTCATAGTGAAGAGGACGCATTAGTTAAAGACACATGATATACACTATAAATATAAACATAAAAACTTTAACATTTGGAAATAATTTTCACCATCATGTTTTTAACATTTCTACCAGACAGTATTTCAAAGAAATCATCAGCCTCCCACCTAGGTAGGATCCGCGCACTTTGGTACCCCTGTCCTCTGATGTGACGGATTCAACATGTTAAGAGTTATAATCTAAATTAAAATTATCCAATATGTACAAAATTAAATGTAACTAAATTACATTAATTACCTGATAAACCTCATCACGATCAGTCTACGCGCCATGGTACCAAGAACGCTAGCTGCATTTCCTCGCTGAATAATTAACTAGTGATAAATCTAGGAAAATATTAATATTAAAATTGTTAAATAGCTTCTCTTATTAACGTGAATTAGAATGCTTTGAATATATTTTTGATTTGTACAGTTTCCAACATTGAAACTCAAGATACAGACTGAGAAGTTTTACGCCCTATTGTCTCTGTTAACCTGGGTTTCCTATGAATCAAATTTTTATTGTAATTCGAAACGTGCGGAGGTTAAAAAAAAGTAACCCGTGATACTTGAACCGTGAACTTTCATTAAATTAACGCCCGGTTTCTGAAACACTTTAACCATCCTTTTGGCAACTAAAATGAAATTTGAAAACCATTTGACAGCTGATTAGTTGACATCTACGATGATCAGTGTTTCAGAAACCGGCCGTAAAACTCGTTACTTTTAGTTTTATTTTCGTGTCTTTTGACGTGTATAAACTGTCGTTACGTTTGTACAGGACATATCACTCTCATGCACAGTGGAGTGCGCGCCTCTGTGCAGCGTGCAATGGCTGAAAGACGGACAAGTCATTGACCTCGAGAAGACCGACAGGTACTACGTGGTGGAGAGGAATATAGAGCCGCAGGTGAACAGGAACGACTTCGAAGCGACAGAATCAACTTTGGTGAGTATTTAACAGCCAATGCATGTTCCACTGCTGGAAAAAGGCCTCCTCTGTACAGAGGGTATTAGAGCACAGTCCTCCACGCGGCCCCACTGCGGATTGGCGGACTTAACATATCTTAGAACCCTTTTTTTTGTTATTGATGACATATTGAACCTAAAATGACAATACTACATTATTGAAAGTATTTAAGCTCTGACATCTTTAGTAAAGTTTATATGAAAATTTGTCACGGCTCCCTCATAATGATGGGGAAGTTTAAAGTATTAGGATAGTACTTATAGACCTTATAAATAATTTAAATTCGAATATCTTTATTGAGTATAGAAGCTTTTTTTATGTGAAAAGTTGCCAAACGAGTAGACGGTTCACCTGATGTTAAGTGAATACCACCGCTCATAGACATCTGCTACACTGGAGGGTTGCAGATCTTTTGAAAATTGTGCTCCGGCAGCCTCACTCACCAGACGAAACGCGAAAGTATTATACTTCCACTTTACGCCGGTCTTCTGTGAGGTCGTGGTACTTACCCGGACGGACCTGCTCATTCGTGCAACAGTTGCGTGGGCCCTACCACCCGAATGTCGAAAGTCTAATATATAACGTGTTACTGGTACAAGGTAAAACGACACAAATATGAACAGCCCGAAGGTCGACTGGTAGATAATGCTGATGGCATTAAGTCCACCTCTGTGCATAAAGTATAAATAAATCAAAAAACAACTCGAAAATACACGTAACACCAACCGATTTTGGTAGCACTGGAACATGTCCGCTTGGGCGGGAGGCGTGCTGTCGCGCGCGGCCGACGGGGCGAGATACACTTGCCGCTCTTCGCGCAACGCCGCCGGCCCCTCTGTCAATAGCACCACCACGTTTGCAGTGGAATGTAAGCCTAACTTTACCTGAGGCATTGTTAATACCATAATTGAATAATAAAAATAAAAATTTAGTAATTGTAACTATTTTACGGATTTATCACGTTTATTTTTAATTTTAATTCCCGACGTTTCGAACCCTTTACAGCGTTCATGGTCACGGGACAGTTTGACGTTGGTAGTATTAAAAATAAACGAGATAAATCCGTAAAATTAGTTTCATTTATAATGTGTAATCGCGTAAATATAGGAAATTATCATCAAAATTTGGTAATTTTTTTTATGAGAAAGAAGAAGTTTCTTCTCGAAGGTTCCCAAGTCGTAACGGTTCGGAAAGAACGCCGGCGGCAACTGTTTCCACAGAGTGATTGTGCAAGGCAAGAAATGTTATGAAATCGATATGACGATATTGTAGAAAAGATTAAGCTTGAATTTGTGTTTTTAGCAACAGTAAAACAATAGTAGTTAAATTAGAAAAAAATACCTTTAAATTAGATGGAGTGGAAATAACAATAGATACAATAGAAAAGACCGTATAAGAACAATGTATTAAATATTAAGTGGATTTTTGTGTCAAAAATCTGACACCAACGGTCTATGTAAAAAATCTAATAAATCGTTAACGTTACACTTTCGTTGAATATTTAACTACATTTTGCTGCCAATACCTAATAGTTTTGAATAGTTAATTAAAAAGACATTTTTAAACATAAATTCACAATTTTTTAGACGAACCTGAAAACATCACCGTCACGCCGCAAGTTGTATCCGTAGTTGAAAACAAGATTCCAGGGAAAGTTGTATGCTCGGCTAAGTAAGATTTTTTCCACTATTTAACAATAATGTTAAACTGTCTATAAATCCATGGAGTTTATCTTAAATAAATGGTAATCCCGACATGCTCACACGCAAAACTATTTTCATCACGAATTTCGAACAGATTTCATTAGTTTACCTTTAATTTTTATGTATTTTTTGATGTCCTTTGGTATTCCTAATTGATAATTCACATGTTTAGAGCCAGTTTAAACAGATTCCTTTAGTTTATTAAATGACCTCATCATTTTATTAATATAATATGGAGATAAATGAAAATCTCTAAAATTTAACACTATTATTGGTTTTCGAGCCTACTAAAAACTCGAAAGAATATGGAAAATTCTATCCCTATCCTACTTAAACAAAATAAAATAATGGTGCATTACAATTTTACCGCTTCATTAAATTAGCCGAAAAGGTGATATTAATATTTCATCAAGCATAAAAAAAGGCTTACAAAGAATCACTAAATCCGCTTTTAGTTGTTAATACAACACCATATACTCACCAAGTATTGTCTCTTATCAAATAAGACACAAATGACAATAACCGTTCCCCGTCTTATCTCTAGCCATATGACATATACCATTACTCAACCAAGACGCACGAGGAAAGAATCAACGGTACCGATCTCCGCAGAGGCTTCCCGATGCCCAACTACTCGTGGCAGCGGGAACAGCCCGTTAAAGGCCAGGGCGAGGAGCACGCGAGACCAACGCTAATACTCTCAACGTCCAGTACCCTGCTTCTCGGCCCCGTGACCAGGAAGGACGCCGGTCGCTACGTCTGCGAAGCGTATAACAAACACGGCAAAGTAAACAGCACCGTCTACCTGGACGTAACGTGTACGTATGCCACAACGTTTGTTAAATTCAAACGTTTAAGGGTGGTAATTTTAGAACTATCACATATTTTCAACAATATGGAGGGGGATAGATCCTAGTTTCAACAAGGATATCAAGTTCAATATGCGACAATTTTGTTCTGGCCTTAACCCACCTAGGTGGGATCGTCAATACATGCCAGTCTTGTTACTGGTCACCTGCCTGAAGTCAACCCTCTTTGGGAACAAACACCCAGATCCGGAACTATGTGGAAATCGACCGCATGGCCGATTGCGGTGCCGAAGTAGATAGCTTAACAACTCCGCCACTAAGTCGTACCGTCTTTAGCTCTATAACGTATCTTTCAGTAGGAAAATAAAGTGAAATCTATTACTTCTACTATAAAATTGCTCATGTCAATATCCCAGTTGTACCGGAATGCGGTATAAAGCAAATCGAGAAGGATGGAGAGCAGGTGCTGGCCTGCACCGCCAACTCAAACCCGGCAGAGGTGGGTCTGGTCGAGATTTTCTTTCAAAGCTAAAGAAGTCTTATAGATTTTAACCCAGACTTTACATTACCTAACACCAAAGCAAAAAATTCTGCACAAACTGTTACATAACTTAATAAATTGCCCCGACACTCTTCAAAACATTTCACTAGTTTCCACCCAAACCGATTACAAAAATCTTTCTTACACCGACCGTAAAAACTAATCTTGGCCTCAATTCACTTTTTGTAAGAATATGCAAAGAACTTAATACACTTTTTAACCGTTGCTGAATATATCGACATCTTTAACGATTCCCCTTATGTTTACAAAAAGAAAGTACTGGAGTCATTTCATTAGTATATGTTATAGTATAGTATTCTTTCAAATTAATTTATTTTTGATTCTTTATTGTTAGTATATTCTTTGTATTTAATTTTTTTGAATTAGTTAGTTTTTTTATGTATTAAACTTTGTCACAATATTGTAAATCCAATGTTTTCTATTTTTCTTTTTTTGTAAGTTGTGTAAATATGTATACTGTTGGTGTGTGTATAACAATAAAAAAAATGTCTTTGGTGATGGATGTGAGACAAGGAGTTGTAACATTACTTAGCTGATGGTACAGGTGACCTTCTCCTGGAGGCTGAAGAACGAAAATGACAGCCTAACAGATGAGAGGATCTGGCAGTCGGGCTCACAGAGCTTCCTACGACTGAACCGTAGTATACCCCACTACCGCACCTACAACTGTTACGCGGCCAATTCCGTGGGAGTATCCAAACCCTGCGAGCGAGGTGTAGAAGGTACCGCAACTTTTTATTTTTTATTCACTATTTTATATTCACCTATTAAAATAATTATTTCAATTATTTTTCTTAATTGCAAACTTATGCCATTTTTTTTAAGTTGAGTCAGTTTCCTGTTTTATTCAGGAATAATTTAACAATTTAAAATTGAAATTTGCAACCCTTTCATTTTCTAATTATTATAAACTAGGTGCATATTTTATTGTATGCTCTTTCTTGTATTAAATTTACATTAAAATATACATTGACTGCCAGACGATGTCGGTATAAAATACCCTAATTTATTTATAAATTATTTATTTTTGCCCCAAAACTAATTTACAACCTGAAACTAACAGGTTGTTTACAATATTACAGAGCTACACTGTAATCATGAAGAGGCTGAAAATGGATTAATTCAAACACCATTTGAAAAATTTATTCCGAAAATGACCTAAAATATTTTTATGTTTTACAATTTGCAGCCAACCTGGAAAGCAACAGTAAGTAATTTAGAATTGACGTCGGCTACAATTTAAGCATTGTAAAAAACGCAATGTAAGCTTTTTGTTTCACCGACACTCGTTTTTATATTAGATTCGGTGAGACGGCCTGTATATTCTCTTAACAAACTTTATTTAAAGCGCAAATAATTGCTTTGTGAAGTTAACCTCTAAAGAAGATAATAGACTGTGCCATGTTACCTTTTTTTTTACACTGAATAGCGTTTTTCTACTATAGTTATGGTCTCATATTTTTTCTCAAAACATTATTCTAAAAGAAAATATAAATTTTACCACACCTAAATAAGCCAACTCCGATTATTCGTATCATACATTATTAAGTAATAATATAAATTTAGTAATAAAACCATAAAAATTAATCCATTTTGCAATTAATCAAGATCAGGGTTAATGGCACGGCAGAGATTTAAATAATTTAGGGATTTTATATATCACAGGAAATAGGATGTGGTGGAGAGATCAGTACAAGCTTCTTCTATTCGGTGGTGTCGCTCTATCCATCCTGATAGTGACACTCGTCCTCTGCATAATCATCTTCAGGTGTAGAAGGATAAAGAACAAATCTAAATGTAAGTAAGCAAACAACACGAAAAGCATACAAACCGACTCTTCAGCATCCGATGTTTATTCGGTCCCATCCATCACCCAGCTTGATTTTGAATAGAACAAACAAACACTCGAGCATAAGAAACCACTGGGTTGCAATTTGAAATTGAGGTCAAAATTTGAAATCGATTGGTAAAAATTTGACATTAATCTCAAATCAACATAAAATGTTGAATATTAGATTTTATTAATTTTATATTCAATTTAACATATACCTTAGCTACAGCAACGCTTGGCCAGGTCAATTAGAACACACATGTGTGACGTGAAATAAATTGTAGCATATATGAAACGCTTGGACTTTTAACATAGCGCCATGTATTGGATACTTACTCATTCCAGCCGATAATTTACCTCACCGCGCCATCTGTTAGAACCTTATAGAACTCAGATAATTATAAATCTATGTCATATAATAAAAAAAAATATTTGCAATACATAAATATTGCGACTACAAATTGAGATGAGATATAAACTATCTATCTTTCAAGTTCGATCAAACTGCAAACAGTGTGAAAAATTTGATCAAAATCGGATGTCCTTTTTTTTATTTTAATTAATTAAATTAAATAATAAAAGACGTATTTGCGCAGGAAATCAAGAGACAGTGGGTAATAATTTCCTTTTTTTTTTTTGTTATTGTTATTCATCGGCTGCCTCACGAAAAACCCGAAACTTAAATTGAGACAGATGTAGACAACAATCCCATGGAGCTTGATGAACGTGTAAAGTAAGTATTGATAACAAATTGATGAAGCAGTATATTAATTGTCTAAAACCTTTTAGTTATGTACACGTAAGCAGATATTCAAATATAATATCGCCCAAATGGACATAAACTAAATTACTAATTATATAAATACTAGCATTTCGTTGAAGACCTTAAATAGATATCGTTCAACCATTTACAACACTTTTTTCCAACTAATCATAGCCTATGTCCTTTCTCAGGCTCTGGGCTATCTGTGTGCCAAATTTCATTTAAATCGTTTCAGTAGTTTTGGAGTGAAAGCGAGACAGACAGACAGAGTTACTTTCGCATTTATAATATTAGTATGGATTTTTTTTAATTTTCTGTTCTCAACAAGGAAGTCTTGTATTATACTCAAATACATATTTGTAAAATATTAAATTTCGAATATAAATATGTAAATATGTATTTTCAAATGTTGTAATGTACTTTTAACCCCTATATTGTGTATTTATTGTATTTTATGTATTTTCAAATGTTTTAATGTACTTTTAACCCCTATATCTATCGGTACTATGAATATGTACTGAACAAGTAAACCCAAAAGTAAGCTATGAAAACCCTGTAAATCAGTTTTATTTACTGTTGAACATTTTGGACAATTTTTAATGATAGTTATTATATCCATGAATTTCCAATCATTATCGATACTAGTTCTAGCCCTACCTTTGATCTAGGTAGAGCCTAGCAAACTATAAACGCCAACCTCACTTATAGATACCTGTATTTTTTTGTTTGTTTCACTTATTGCTTAAACCATCGGTTGTAATTGCGTTTTTTAATATTTATTCCCTCTTAATCGCTTCCCCACCACTACGCTCTAAAAAATATTATTTCCCCTATCAACGAGAATGTCTTTTATATATTCGTCTATTCCTACTTAGGTTCCTAACCGATCCAACTCCAGATGTTCTCAGACTGACTACGATCCATCCATCAGGTACATTATAATATATAAACAATTTTATTTTATAAACTGTATTATCATTTGAATTTAGATGGCGAATGCATTCTTATGTTTTTCCCGTTGTATCTTTTCTGTGTTGTTGAACATAGTTCTCAAAGGAATTACCTATTATCTGTGTAAATAGTTATTTACTGTAGTTCGCTCTTTAATAAGTTTTAACAATTCCACAAAATGATGTTTAATTAAAAAATCTAACGTGTATCATTATATTTTTTTAAAGTAAAGATACATCGCATGTCCAAATCATTCTGTCTGTTTCCATTTTGTTACTAATATAGTTCAGTTCAGATGGTAGTTGTCTGAATGAAGAGTCTATCAAACATTTGCTGACTTTACACATTTCTTAAAAATTACAGTACAAAAGTTTGAACCGTAAGGCAATGATATGAAATTTAAAGTGAAACTTAATAAATCGTGTTTAGTACCTCAAGGTACGGTAAATGTAACCACATTAACCATCTCTCAAAAAGGAATGAAAATAATCTAAGCGAACCAGAGTGACGCTCTTAGCTCTTAATATAGTAGTGGAAGCAAGATATCTCTAATCTGTGGGACATGATAATTCTTCATTAATTATAAGCCACGAAAAGTAATAGAAATTTCGGAATAATAAAAAATCAGCTACAAACACAAATTATTCGTCTAATCATTTGAAATTACTCACTAGTAACGTTTAATTTATGATTGTTTATCTAAAATAACATTTATTTAGCATTCATTCTATCCAAGATAATTTCAACTTAAATACTAATTAAGGAATATTGATTTTAACAAGTTAGATTTCAATTAAACTTCGATTAAATAGGTAGGTTAATGTAGAAGGAATAAAATGTTAAACTAATATAAATTTTTATACAACACATTCACATTTACAAACCAGGTTTTCACGGAACCCCGATTCTCATTTTATAGTTCTGTAGTAGTGCCACACAGCAACCGCTACTATTTTCCGAATGGACAGGCTCGTCCGGGGAAGTGCCAAGGCTTCACGTGTGGCCAACGTGAGCTGAAAATCCGCTTCCTCATTCCAAATGGTGAGTGAGGTAACCGGAGCAACCTCTCTCGTATATAGATATCAATAGATGGCGGTGTCCACTTAAAACCCAGGTGGACCTCCAGCAACCTTTCCAATTTTGCATATTATAAGAAATATTCTACTCAATTTGTGCTTTTTTTAATCCGTAGGCCAGCTTGTGAATTTCGTAGACAATATAACAAATGGAAACCCGGGAGCGGAAAACCCTGTTATCTACGAGAATCTACCGTTCCACAGCGTCCAACAACCACCAAATCAGGTAAATGTCAAGAGAACAAACTACATTTGAATTATTACTGTTTATCGAACAATTGTTAAATATTAAAATCCTTTAAAGACTTTAAAAATATAGTATTCTCTGCTACTAATTAAGATGATATTGAAAATTTGTGAAACCGAAAGTAAAAATGCCTCATGTTGCAAAAAAATCATGCAAAATCCTTTGTTGCTTTATTTATTCTTCTGGCCATATTAAATAACTTCATCAGTAATAACCATTACTTCATATTACAGAACATTAACACACTGAAGAAGCAATATATCTCAATGAAAAACCTATCTACTAACGTAAACACAAATAGAAATAACCAGAAGAATTTCGAAATACCGCTGCAGCACCCCAGCTCCTATTACATAAAGCAAATCGACAAATGGGCCCCATCTGACCAGAAGAAGTCTTGTAACCCAACTATCGGACCGATCATATGGCAGACTGGCGATGAGCCACATTGCACGAAAACTTTAAACAGGACTAGAAAAAAGAACAATAAAAAGTTGAATCGCATGAAGAGATCCGAGAGTCTAAAAGATAAGTTGTCTTACGTAGGTGTTTATAACAATTACGAGAGACCAAACTACCACGTACCTGAGAACGACGAATCCAGGGGGAAATCCTACTTACAGCTCCAAGATCAAAACTGCGCCGTCAACTTCAACACGCTAGGTCCAAAAGGGGAGTGGTCCAAGCACAAAAAGCACGACCTGGCTTTAGATAACCACAATATGAAATTCAAGAACACAGTCAACTCGAACAAACATCGTTACGATGGCTTCCCTGTAGTGGAAACCGGTATTAATAAAATTACTAACAGTAGCTATAAAACCAGCGTAACGAGCAGTCAGAGGAAACGAATGCAGAATAGCGATCGTGCTAATGTAACATTCGGCGAAATTGACATCTAAAATGTGAGTGATCTTCCGTCACATTTCCCATCTAAATGATCAGATCTCATAGATTTATGGAAATTATTAATCAATACATCATACAGATAAATAAAATTGAAGTGTCTGTTTGTAATATTAAAATAACCGCTTTTTACTAAATGCATAAATATTTATTTACAATTATTGTCTGTCTGTTTGTTCCGACTAATCTCGATAAATGTCTAAACTCAAGTTAAAAAAGAAATAAATCATAGCTTTTTAAAACTGTTTGATGACAACATCTATATAGTCACACTACTTTAACGAAAACTAATTATTGATGATATATGAGCATGATCATAAACAATTAAACTATTTTACTATATTCGGTGTCTTTATAACACATATGATATATAATCTTTTAGGCGTCTCAATTCTTGGTGACATCAGCCGAAGACACCCACAGTCCTGCAGAAGCCGATGCAATGGTGGCGCGAGTCTGACGCCCTGAGGCAGTCCACTCAAATGCCACCTACGCCCTCATCATCGGCTCGTTTCATATTAATCTTTTTCTGGACGTTATTCCAACTACATTTAAATAATCATTTACTATTTATGATGCCCTAACACAATAAAATAATCAATTAAGTAAGAAACTATGCGTTGAATTCAGTGGACAAAGTGTATCTTTGTGTCATTATTCTTATGAATAATAGTTTGTGCGAATTTGTGACTTCAGAGTGTTCCTAAGCTTTACGATCACCGTGGGTTGTGGATTCAATTACTCAATTATTTAATCAACAGTAAATGCTCCTATCTAGAAGTTTTGAAACATTGAATGTTGAAGAATAGTCCAGCTAGCGAATCTAGCGTGTGAAGTGACCGGGTCGTAAGTAATAAGCAATAAGCAAACAGTGCTTAAGAAACTATAAACTAAAAGGTGTAATGATTTTTTCTGTGATATTATTATAGGTATACTTATATTATATATGAGGACCAAATGTTGTTAGAGTAATCAAATAAATTTTATAAGTTAGATTAGGGAATAAATCACACAACGTATTTGGTTGGTTTAATCTTCAATATGTACGAATGGACATTCAATTTTATCAATGTAGATTAATTCTAAGGTTCCTTGCTGGTTACGTCAATATACCGTTCACATTTTATATTACAAACGAACGTCAGCCCATACATAACGAGGAAATCAAACGCTATTTTCATTGCGTCTTTGATCTACGTGTAACTGATTTAGCCATTTACATATGTGTGTGTATTATATGCTACGTTGGCCTGTCTGCCACATAAGCCCCATGTATAACTATTAAAGTCGAAAAGTGTATATATTAATCATATAAATAATAAACTAGTTGACAATTGAGAAACGTCTTTTATTCAACACTAGCACGCCGGCTTCGCACGGGTGCCACGGTGCCATTATACATATAAACTTTCCTCTTGAATGAATCACTATTTAACCGTGTGCTCGCTTGGCAACTTTACACTCAATTTAATTATAACGTTACGATCACTTAACTTGATTACCACATTTATTAACAATCACTTTGATATTTCTCTTAATCACGATTAACCCAACTAAATGATAAAACAGTACGAAGGAACTAATACGGCGTTCCACAGAACACGTGGTGCGACTACTTCTCAACGTATAATAACCCGCCAGCGCTCTGAGTTACGCCAATGACAGTTAGCTGTCATTAGTTGCCATTTTAAAAATTATAATTGATACCGAAGCGCCGACATATCTATAATAATTTGTACTTATTTACAAAAAGGCAAGGGATTTTTTTATGTGAGAAGGTTCACTACCTATTAACCGTGATGACCACCTGATGTTAAGTGATAACCGCTGCCTATGGACATTTGCAACTCCCGTGTACGGTTGCAGATGCGTTGCTATCTTTTAATAAAGTGGGTCCCGGCTCCCACTTCACGCCGATCTCTTGTGAAGTCGTACGCACTGGTCTGTTTTTGTGAGTTTATGTTCTCCTGGAGTGACACTTGTAGCAGAATACTCGTAGCGAGTCTAGTGGGCGACTTTTGGTCGACTCCCTGACGAGGTTAAATCTCCGCTCTACGTTGAAGTTTGAACACTTCGCGGTGTTGTACTAGCGTACGATATTCGCAGTTAATCGCTTATTGAAATAAAATTCTATTCCCTAAAAAACAGAACTTGTTGACAATGCGATAGTCATTCATAAATGCGTCGTATACTTTTGAGACGAACTGGTGTGCTTGTTAGATAAGAATGATCGCGCGTTAAATAAATGAGTTGCCCATAAATCACGCACATTTTGAGATAAGTTAAAATGAATGTATTTAATTAATTAAGAGTAATTTTATATATTTATCATTTTTAACAACATTAACATAACTATTTATGTCTAGAATTTAATAAAAAATGGATACACTTAGAAAAGCCTCCCTGTATAGAGATACAGGTATGACCTAGATGTCTTTTTTTGGCGTAAAGCACTCTTTTCGGCAAGGGATATTTTTTATGTGAGAAGTTCACTACCTATTAACGTGATGACCACCTGATGTTCAGTGATAACCGCTGCCTATGGACATTTGCCACACCCTACGGGGTTGCAGATGTCTTGCTACCGTTTAATAAAGTGGGTCCCGGCTCCCACTTCACGCCGATCTTTGTGAAGTCGTACGCACTGGTCTGTTTTTGTGAGTTTATGTTCTCCTGGAGTGACACTTGTAGCAGAATACTCGTAGCGAGTCTAGTGAGCGACTTTTGGTCGACTCCCTGACGAGGTTAAATCTCCGCTCTACGTTGAAGTTTGAACACTGCGCGGTGTTGTACTAGCGTACGATATTCGCAGTTAATCGCTTATTGAAATCAAATTCTATTCCCTAAAAAACAGAACTTGTTGACAATGCGATAGTCATTCATAAATGCGTCGTATACTTTTGAGACGAACTGGTGTGCTTGTTAGATAAGAATGATGGCGCGTTAAATAAATGAGTTGCCCATAAATCACGCACATTTTGAGATAAGTTAAAATGAATGTATTTAATTAATTAAGAGTAATTTTATATATTTATCATATTTAACAACATTAGCATAACTATTTATGTCTAGAATTTAATAAAAAATGGATACACTTAGAAAAGCCTCCCTGTATAGAGATACAGGTATGACCTAGATGTCTTTTTTTGGCGTAAAGCACTCTTTTCGGCAAGGGATATTTTTTTATGTGAGAAGTTTCGCTACCTTTTCGAGCATGCGGTTCACCTGATGTTAAGTGATAACCGCCGCCTATGGACATTTGCAACACCCGTGTACGGTTGCAGATGCGTTGCTATCTTTTAATAAAGTGGGCCCCGGCTCCCACCTCACGCCGGTCTTTTGTGAAGTCGTACGCACTGGTCTGTTTTTGTGAGTTTATCTTCTCCTAGAGTGACACTTGTAGCAGAATACTCGTAGCGAGTCTAGTGGGCGACTTTTGGTCGACTCCCTGACGAGGTTAAATCTCCGCCCTACGTTGAGCACTACGCGGTGTTGTACTAGCGTGCGATATTCGCAGCTGGACGTTAAATGAAGATTTTTAATTTGTGCTATGCGTTTAGTGTTCTTAAAGCCCGGTTACTCCCTCCTTTTATCATAATAATATAACAATAATCTTTATTCCAGACAATACAGAAAATTTTGTCCAGTGTTTGTAGTCATTCACCAAAGACATGCACTATATATTCCGGCATTACTCTAAGGCGAGAGCAACAAACAACTATGACTAACAAAAAAATATGACTTCGGCGTTGGGCGTCATGGGTTCGATTCCCACACGAGACAACTATTTGTGCGTCCCACAGATAGTCGTTTCGCATCTGGGTGTTTGTCCTCGTGCGATTTATGTTTGTAAAACATCCTTACAACACAGGATAACGTTATCCTAAAGTGAAGGCAATGTTAAAAAAAAATTAAGAAAAAAAAACGGGACCCTATACTAAGACTTCGCTGTCTGTCTGTCCGTCTGTTATCAGCCTGTGTCTAATAAATCGTGATAGTTGGACAGTTGAAATTTTCTCAGATAATGTATTTCTGTTGCCGGCAAACAAACGGCAAAAAAAACCGGCCAAGTGCGAGTCGGACTTGCGTACGAATTTCGAATATCCGTCATGCCGTTGATCAGTCTGTGCACATAATACAGAGGATTCAACTCCTTCTTTTTAATCGGGTCAAAAAATACAACAAATGTTAAGGTATACATCTTTCCGAACTTTTTGTAGATAAAGTGTCGAAGAATTTTCAGCGCTACGAAATACGTAACAGCGTTTTCAGTTAAACACATCCAGATTTTAGCATAATGACAAACTTTCAGTTTGAACACCCAACGCGCGCGAACATGATTGATGAGGGCATAAAAAATAATTTCTTCCTTTGCCTCGTTAAAGGCTGATGACATTGTATTGTCACAGGGGAATGACTGGTAAAGAAGGAAACTGAATAATGGGGGAAGCTTTTCGATAAACTTTCCGGGAAATCACGTTTTCCATTCACTTCTGCCTTGAATTTTTTATGATACATTTGGGACGTAGTTTTTATTATTACACTTATTAAATATTTAATAAGTGTAATAATAAAAACTACGTCCCAAATGTATCATAAAAATAAACATTTTACAATTTATTTGACGTGAGAATATTTTATAATTAATTAAATTCGTTTAAGCACGAATGAAACCAAGGAATATGTTAAATATCTTGTTTCCTACTATCCCGACCCGACCTTCTTTTATTTCGACCCGATTTGGGCCAGTTTAAAATCAAATTAATACTGACCAATGCTGTCCTATGTGTAATAGAATAAGGTAAAAGGGTACTTACTTATTAGCGCCACCGCAGCTACTGTATTGGTGGTTTAGGTGAGGTTAAGTTAGGTTTTGATTTTAAAGAAGGTGTTTTATTTAATTTAAAATCAAAACCTAACCTAAGATAACTGCGTGCGCGTGCGAATAATAAGATTGCTCTTTATTGGCTCATAAGCGCAACTTATTCTGCTG